TCCTTGAAAGGGCTGTTAGTCGTGCGCATTTAAATAAATAGACCAACAATATTTCGAAAATTTATACATCAATTAATTTATTAAGTATTTTTGCAATTATTAAATAATTCGATTTAAGTCTTTTAATTAAAATAATTAAGTAATTATTATAGGTAAATAATATATCTTGTTTAAATGATACGAAACATCTCTTGATTTCGAACAATTAATGGATATTATGTTGTTACATTATGTAACATAAGTATTAATTAATACGCATGTTATTTTATACACTATATAATATTTTATTTTTTTCCATATTGTTTAAAATTAATCGATACGTAACAGCTCTTGATCTCGAACAATTAATAGATATTATGTTGTTACATTATGTAAATAAGTAATAATTAATACGCAAGTTATTTTATACACTATATAATATTTAAATTTTTTCCTTATTGTTTAAAATTAATCGAAATGAAACAGCTCTTGATTTCGAACAATTAATAGATATTATGTTGTTATATTATGTAATATAAGTTATAATTAATACGCATGTTGTTTTATACAATATATAATATTTAAATTTTTTCCTTATTGTTTATAATTAATCGATACGAAACAGCTCTTGATTTCGAACAATTAATAGATATGTTGTTACATTAATATAAGTTATAATTAATGCACATGTTGTCTTATGCTATACAATATTTTTATTTTTTCCCTAAATTTTTCACATGCATCATGTGATAACCCTATCAGAATAGGTAAACATATTCAACGTTGTTAAGAAGCTTCCCCTCTGGTCCTTACTCTTTACTCTGTGACTCCATGATGGACCGCTCCAAGCTCAAATGCAGAAGGTGGTGCTCATCGATACCGCCCGCATCGCCCGCCGATTTCTTTCCCTTTCCCCCTAACCCTCGGCCGCTTTGTCTCCCGTGCCGAGGGCTTCCATCTGGTTGGGTTTTTATTTATTTATGTATTTTTTATGTTTTTATTTTATTTTGTTGATATTTATGTACGTTTATCATTTTCATTTACAATTATATATTTATACAGCCCAACCAGATGAGTAAACTATATGGATACCCCAAATAATAATAACATTTAAAATGATGGTTGTAAGGAGAAATTCGTCAACTATTTCCTTAGGTGTCAACAGAAATCAGATGCGGTCCACTTTCCTGATAGGTAGAAGATAACTAATAGAATCAGGCATTGTTTTGCACAAATTTATTAGGTTAAAGATGTGAAAATGATTTAGCTATTGTGGAGATAGGAGCAGGCAAACTAAGTAAGACCGATCATTTTATTTCTCGCGTGGATTTAAGACTAGAGACCAATAACGGTAAATGTAGCCAAAAACGCTAAATGTCTTAATAGACTGATGATAGAGGGCGTTGTCATTTCTCGTGTGTCTTTTGCAGAAATAAGTGGATGCTAAGGCCCATAAACATCTACATTTACTCTTGATTGAGAATCAAAATTAAGATACTTTGTCTGCCAAGCATATGAACTAAGATGGAATGCCCCGTTATCAGTAAAAAGGATCGCCGGTTCTTGCATTAATATATAACAAATATATAAAATGAGAACATCATAAATGTAGTCGAAGTAATAATGTAGACTCAAAAACTACTGGTCATTTCTTGATCAAATTTATATGGGACCACATGAGAAGCACCAGCTTTCAAATAAAAAAAAGAAATCGAAAAATCGGTTGATTTAGACAAAAGTCACATAAGACACATAAAAAAACATTATAGTCCAATTGAGAACCTCTGTTTTGAATTCGGTTAAAATAGCAAAATTATGCAACTGCTATTTCACGCCCTATATTTGTGGTCTACCACGGTCAAGCAGCATACGCCGCAGCGTGACTCTACAAGCAAAATAAGATATTATCACATTAAATATATCATAAAATATATCATAATATACAATATTAAAAAACTATAATAAGAAAATAAAACTAATAATTTAATAGTCATACAGTCCTACCCCCCGTTGTTTCCTGCCAAGAACGCTGGCCGCGTTTTCTGGCTGAATGTCTATACTTAGCCGAGCGAGAAAAGAACCAGCACTCTTATCACCAGCAGCAACCAGTCGCGGGTGGAGTTCCTTTAGGAACTTCACCGCACGTGAAACCCACGCACCTATAGTCTCTACAGCGAATGGCACAAATATGTTTATATTTAATTATGTGGTGACATCAGGATTATTTAGCTTTGCACACAATTATAAGTAATTTGCATACTTAAAGCAATATGTATTACTAATTAACGTTATAATAGCTTGATCAGTAATTATAACGCATAGATATTGAATGTGAACCTTAATTGAATAAAACTATTTTTACGAATTTTATCGCGTTTAATTTACTCATTTTAATTCCCGACATTTAGAGTGCTTTACAGCACCCATGGTCACGGGAGGGACTGAAGTGTTTGACGTCCCGATGTCATAGTTATCCCGGCGACCTTCAGAAATATTAATTTAATAGAATATTAATTTTTGGTCTGATCTACGAAGAATGAGCTGACAATATCTTAAAGTCTTACAGTGGTATATTTGGGTTTGGATTTAATTTTATTAATTATAGGATCCCAAGCAGATAGCAGCACCCATCCATCTTCTCTATTGAAATTAGGATGTTTCTTTTTTAATTTCAATAGCCTCGCGAAATCATCCTTGGTAGGAATCGGTGTTCTTTTGCGAGGATTTGTGATCTATCAACATTTCTGTCATCATAGATGTCATTACATGACAACACCAAAATAGATTAAGTATGCTTAGTGTAAGGGTAGCAAACGAGCACACAATCCACCTAAAATAAAGTTGATGCCGTGGCCCATATCCATCTAAATCTATGCGGGGCAGTATTATGTTCGAGTGTATACGCAACACAGGTAAACACTATATTCCCTCACTCTCATGGTCTGATGGAATGGCAAACCGACACGACCAGAGAGATATCAGTCACAAGACCAAAGGCTTTTCGTGTTTTTTGTCTATACTATCTGGATGATTGGCACTCGCTAGTTTTAGTCGATTTCACAATTACCTTGTGGAATCGACTAAAACTAGCAAGTTTTCTGGATCGATAAGAATTAGGGACCTTCAAGAAAACAGCCTACTCTATTTTAAAAGGCCGGCAACGCATCTACAATTCCCCTGGTATTGCAGTTGTTTATGGGCAACGGTAGTCACTTACCATCAGGTCAGCCGTAAGCTCGTTTGCCTTCGCCCATAAAAAATGGGTCTATGGTTTTTTTTACACTTTCTAAACGAAACACAACAGTATAATTCTGCTGTTTCACTATGGTATTTTGCGAGAGCATAAGCAAGCCGATCCGTTCGCGCTGCGGCTAAATAAAGTTTTAGATGTTGGTTGTAGATGTTGGTTGTTGAGCTGCTGCAGCGAGGTTCTACGGGTGCAACCTAAATCTGACATTTGTACCACTTCATCTCACTTCAGTTTAAAAAAAAGATTAATGATATTTGAAATCCAACTATCACCTCCATTCTCCTTCTCCATCATCAACACGGGCTTGCTTGCTCCGTCGGTTGTATTTGCATTTTACGGCTAACAAAGATGTAATGGTTACATCGTCCTCGTTGTTGGGACTGCCTCGATACTGTAGTGCGTCGGAGATGTTTGCGCAAGCTCGCACGGACGGTTTTCATGCGATAATACGTAAGAAAACAGATTCGCTGCTTAGAAGGGTGAGAGATAGTCACAACAGCATTTTGAAAACAGTAGCGGAGCACTATAATTCTCCGATTTTGAAAAAGTTTGTCCACACATTAATGTTTACTAACACTAGTTTATAAGTCAATTGTTACTAACACTACTATGGATTAATTTTGGTCCGAAATAAAGATTATTATTATTATTTTGGGGTATCTATAAAGTTTTCTCATCTGGTTGGGCAGTATAAATATATAATTGTAAATGAAAATGGTAAACATACATAAATATGAATAAAATAAAATAAATACATAAAAAATACATAAATATATAAAAACCCAACCAGATGGAAGCCCTCGGCAGGGGAGACCAGACGGCCGAGGGTTAGGGGGAAAGGGAAAGGAACCGGCGGACGATGCGGGCGGTATCGAGGAGCACCGCCTTCTGCATTTGAGCCTGGAGCGGTCCGTCACGGAGTCCCAGTCGCCTCAGATGACCCGGGAGGCTGACTGGGATTAACCCGTTCGCAGAAACGACCACAGGAATAATTTCGGCCGGCAGACCACCCCACATGCCGGTAACCTCGTGAGCCAGGTCCAGATATTTTGTCACCTTATCTGTTTCGGCTTTCACGAGGTTCTCGTCATAAGGAATGGTAATGTCGACCAAAAAGATCCTTGACTGTGCCCGGTCCATCAGCACAATATCAGGCTTATTCGCAAGAATAGTCCTGTCTGTGATGATGGCCCGGTCCCAGTAGAGCCTGGCGCGGTCATTTTCGAGCACGGCTTCCGGCAAGTACTTATAATACGGCAGTTTCCGATCCACTAGGCCGTATTTCAGAGCGAGCTCCTGGTGTAGAATCCTGGCTACTAGATTGTGTCTGTGCAAATACTCAGAGTTAGAAAGCGCCGAACAACCGGAGATGACATGCCTAAGTGACTCACCGGGATGGCGACAAGCTCGACAGATGTCGACGGTGCCATCCTTTAGGATGTATCTCCGATAATTGTTGGTCTTAATAACCTGATCCTGTATTGCACAGACAAAACCCTCGGTTTCCCCAAAGAGGTCACCGAAACGTAGCCAGTGAAGGGAGGCGACTGTGTCTACGAAAGGCTCATGTAGAGCCTTGTAGAACCTCCCGTGGAGCTCCTTCTCCTTCCATACGGCCTCCCGGTCGGAAATGCACTGTACTGCTGGGTCTTGCCATTGCTCGTTGGCTAAGGATGGAGGGGTCAGTCCTTTATCACAAGAAATAACGTCCCTATAGTATGGATCATCCGCTCTCGTCAGAAAGTAATTACGGAGGCTGCACACTTCGCGATTATGCATGGTAAGCGCGCTTAAAAAGCCGCGCCCACCATGCTTCCGCGGCAAGTACAGCCTCATTACTGACGATCTCGGATGATGCATCCTGTGGGACGTCATTATAGTGCGGACTTTTCTGTCCAGAGCGTTTAGTTCGGTCTGAGTCCACCTAAGTATGCCAAAGGTATACATGAGAACAGGCATCACCCAACCGTTATATGCGTGCGTCTTATTCACACCGGACAAAAGGCTGTTAAGTACTTTGGTCAAGCGTGCATAAAACACATCGCAAACTGACTGTTTCATACCCGCCTCATCTACACCGATGTTCTGTGACATACCCAGGTATCGGTATGTTTCAGCCTCGGAAAGGGTCCTTATGTTGATGGGCATAGATAAATCTATGCCCTCAGAGTTAGCAACCCTACCCCTTTCGACATGGAGGACCGCACACTTATCCGTCCCCAGCTCCATTCTAATAGAATTGCTAAAATCACAAGTGATGTTTAGCAATTCCACAAGATGAGAGCGACTGGAGGCGAATAACTTGAGATCATCCATATAGAAAATGTGGGTCACTTTTGTACCTCCTCTCCGAAGCTGAAATCCCCTCCCGGAGCCCTCCAGTAAGGTACTGAGAGGGTTCAGAGAGAGGCAGAACCAGATTGGACTCAGACAATCGCCCTGGAAGATACCCCTTCTTATCCTTATGTGGTTCTCCGCAGCCGTCATTCGCTCGCCTAGATGACAAAGGATCGTACTCCACTGCCCCATACACTGCCCGAGGAAGTCTCTAACTGTACAGTCAACCTTGTACAGCTCGAGGACCCTCTTCAGCCATGTATGAGGCACCGAGTCGAATGCCTTTTTGTAGTCTATCCAGGCGGCGGATAGGTTTCGACGGTTGCGTTTAACCACTTTGCCAATGACCGCGTCAATGAGGAGTGGTTCCTTGGTTCCACGACCACCGCCCCGACATCCATTTTGAGCGCGCGACATCACCTGATTTGAGTTCAGGTGATGTCGCTAATAATAATAATAAATAATAATGATTATTATTATTATTATTAAAAGTCATAAGATCTATCCGGCACACCTCATAGTCATCAGTTATGACACCAACGGTCAAAACAGGGTGATGAATTCTCTTAAACCGGTACAAAACTGCAATATCGAGTGAAATGCGATATGATGCAATGCAATTTTATTACGACAAGACTGACCTTTTTCTTGTTATTTCATATTTATATTTCTTCTGCTGTCGTTTTGCATCTGCCTAATATTCCTGACGCTGCTGAAAATAAGCGTTACGAAGTAACTGTATCTGAAGGGAAAATTTTTGCTGCGTGTTGGCGACGAAGAATAAACTAACCCTCCATTTTGTTCCGGCCTACGAGGCAACAATGGCAAAATTTAGAAAGAATGTGATCGTCCATAGATGGTGATGTTGAGAGAAGAAATTACACAAACCGAGTACGTGAAGCATTATCAAAAGTGCGAGACTCATCGTATTACGATCGTCAATCCAACTTCGAAGTTTTCCGTTTATGCCAAATCCTATCTCCAATGGCACCAATAGTTCATCAGTGGAATGTTACAGACTGATATAGAAGAAAAAACTTATGATGAACGTGGTAGCACAAATGGGTCAGCTTATCCCGAATAAGGCCTACAATTACAAAACGAGTCAGCTTACCCCGAGTAAGGCCCACGGTTACAAAACACAGCGTAAAATAGAGGCTTCATGCTGCTGGGTTTCATAAGGAGAGTGTAGAGAGAACCGATTTTTTTACTAGTAACGTTTTTACAATAAAGTTAAGATTTTGTACAATATATACCTGAAACTAACTTCAAAATGACCCCAAATGCTTAGTCACCCTCACGGACTAAGATGAAATACCTCACCCTACTTACTGTACTTTTTATCCGGCTAAAATCGGAGCTCGATAGTGACTACGGTGCTGCTAGACGGTAGATGTAGGTAATATACTGGCAACTCAAACAGACTCCTAGGTGGAAAATGACTTCTATCACCTAGTTAAGTGAGCTTAAGTGTGGCGTAGCATAGCTTTCTGTCACTCTTGCCCGCTAAAACTTAAAATGCAGCCCAAACATATGTATTTTAGAAGAAATTTAAAATTATAAATCGGCACAATATAATTTTTAGTCTGCGCATATTTAAAAAATGTTAGGAATGTTTAAGACAATCAAACAAACTTTGTTTATATACATATATAGAAAATTACTTATAAGTCCTTGTTAGTATGGCCACTGCGCAATAAAAGATTAATCTTTGAACGATTTTCTTTATTTTCTAATGGAATCACGTACAAAGCGTAAGCCCTAATTGTATATATTGCAAAATTTGCAACACTATGAAGATGTTCTTCTTTGTCGTCCTAATTTTTTTATTAAATACATTCATTATCTCCTTAAAAATACAATTTTAAATGCTAATAAAGGGAATAAGAATATTAAAATACGGTTTTAACTATATAACAATTTTTATTATATTTACTTACATTATATAAAAATATACAATAATTATTGCGAAAATAAAATCTGAAATGAAAAACTCAAGTAATCATACAGTCTTATTCCCGCCGTATAGTGCTAAAATCGCTCTTTCCTCTTCTCATCTTTTGCCCAGTTCTTGTTTTTAATTAATTCTTTTATATCTATTAACTCATTCTGCGTCATTTCATTCACTTTGTACTTCTCACCATTAACCTTTGCATTCATAATGATTACTCACATCTGTTCAGGTCTGTATACATCTCTATGCTTTAATTCATGTTCAATGTTAGAGTGCATGGAGTCATCGTCGCTTTGCCCATGACCGGTTTTAAAAAATCGGTGTATAATATTGATTTGAAGTTTCTGAGCAGCCAAAGAGATTTAAATATATAAGCTACTACTACTCAAATGTCTTTGAGAGCAGCAAACATATGAAAAGCAAATATAAATCCACTTTTAATCTGGCCACCGCAACTGTCAGATTAAAAAGAAACATTTTTGTAGCCTCTTTAAAATTCACCTAAGAGAAATTGCCATAAACAGCTGCCAATTTCTATCGCTCCTCTTTTGCAATTGCGTAGTGCCAAACGTAGCAGTAACCTTTAAGCCGAGTACTATCAAAGACAGTAAAGTTATATATAGGATATTTCCTTTTATAGTGAAATATTCCTACCTGGGATTGTGGAATGTTCAACACCTCTAGGTCAAAGATTGCTATAGTTGTATCTGAGAGTTTAACAGATTCCTTTTCTTCTTTTTTTATTTGACGTACTTGCTCTTTTTAATTTTGGTGCAGGACATATTTCTCTCGCAATGTCTCTTGTCGGGCAGGATCAGATTGTTGGTAAAGAGTGCAAGTAACACATTGATCTTTTTTGGGAGTATAAAAAGAATAATTAAACTTGGTGTTGAAAATGGTTCCATAATATCATTAAGAAGCCATGGGACAGTCGTAGTTTTTTAATCATAATACTATATTATAGTATTATGAGTAAAAATGTTCATGAGATTTTTGTAAAAGTTAAAATCGTGAACTCTGCGCTTTTGGATAATCATAAAGCTCAGGCTATAAGCGTTATCCTTAATAACATTGTACGTAAGCAACGAGAGATCGATACCTCCGGCATCAATGAAATTGTCAATTACAATTTTCAGTACTGATTTATCACGTGCATTACACCCGGTAAAGGAAAACATCGTTGGAAATACCGAATTACTAAGAAAAATATGACAATCTCATTTACACGAGGAGGTTCTAAATATCTAAATGAACGAGGGTCAAATGGGGACTCAACGCGTGCAGAAAACTATCTTAATGAAACAGAGCAAGAATACTAACCCTGTAGTGATGGTGGTATACCCACTATCCCATATCGTATCGTGGATGTCGGAAGACGCGACAGAGGGAAACAAACCAGGAGATAGGCAGAAAATTCTTCTTAATAAAAAATAGAAAAACATTGTGTTATGGCGAACTCACCTACCAAGCGTGATAACTATGGCAAATATCCTCCTTATGAAGCATTCGTTGGGGAGAATGATAATGTACGACTACGTTGCTAGCGTTAGAATACCAGCTCTGTTTAACAACTCTCTTAACATGGGTGATAAATACTGAGTAATGAATGATGAAATCTTTAATTTTAGTCCTGTTGGCGATGTCCTGAGGAGATATATACACAGCAGTATCTTTTCAAAGCCTATCAAAGATATAATAACTTTTACTTGTATCCCTCATTATTTTGAGTTCAGTTTCTTTGAACAGTATAAAGTTACATATACCAACACAATAAATATTTACCAAAATGATAATGACAATGTTATCCCCCAATAGGTTTAAAAAACCATCCCGTCTGAGACTTTTTTCTTTTCTCTCTTTAATATACATTTATAATTGTATAGAATAAGGATGACAAATTATCACACAAATGTTTTTAAAAAACGTATTTTTCTCCTGTATCGTGGCATTTTAGTTAATTAAATTGCATATCCGAACCCGGAATGATTATTTTTTGGCCATGCAAATACTTGTACTGTGCTGGTTTCAAAGCCACGATCGTGAGCTGTTATTGAAAGACTATATGTAATAAACTAGAGTACTTGTCTCGTATTAAAAGCCGTCAATAAGCTTCTTTCAGCTAGTGCTCTTAATCAGTATTCATAGCCTACAAATTATACTTAATATTCGTATATATAAAAATGAAATCAATGAATTTACTTTATCTACTAACAGATTTTAATATTACTATGTATTAAATAAGCCGAGAAGTGGTGACGTAAGAGAATCCACCACCCCCATGTCATCCCATGAGTATAGTATAGGGCGACAGAGCAAAATTGGAACAGGAGTTGGGTATAAGCATCTTCGCCACCGCCTTCTATAATCAGTCTCAGTGAACTTTAATAGGCGTAGTGAATAGATTGATAAATGATTTATTTTGTATATAGCTTCGCAAAAGTATCCATCACCTCCTTTCATGCCGTAGGTTTTTTTTATAGGAAATGGGGCAAACGAGCATGCGGCTCACCTGATAGTAAGTGACGACCGTCCCCATGAACAACTGCCACACCAGGAGAGTTGCCGATGCTTTGCCGACCTTTTAAAAAAGAGTAGGCTCTTTTTATGAAGGTCCTAAGTCGTATCGGTGCTAAAAAATTTCTGATGGTAATAGATTCAACAAGGAAGTTGTGCGGGGAAGAAAACTTCTTCTAAATCGCACAGTGGTGGACCGCCACTCCTCCAGATAGTATGGATGGTATCGCGAGTTTTGTCGCGATGTACGATGGTGAAATTGAGTGGCTGGAATTAGTCCAAACAATTCTTTAGCGCACTCCCCGTGATAGATGCGGTGAAATACGCAAATAGATGCAACATCTCTACGCAGTGCCAGTGAGTCAAGCCGATCGGATAGAGCTCGGTCGTCGACGATTCGAGTCGCTCTGCGCTGGATGCGGTCAAGTGGAAGGAGCTGGCACTGGGGAGCCCCTGCCCAGAGATGGGAACAGTATTTCATGTGAGGCCGAACCTGCGCCTTGTAAAGTTGCAAGCGGTGTGCCAGCATGAAATACTGTTCCGCTCTGCTGAGCAAGACAAGCCTTTTAGGGGCCGATTTGGCCTTCTCTTCCAAGGGACCACGAAACTTCACGTCACTCGATATGTCGACACCGAGGATTCCAATACTAGCTGAGTCAACAAGGGGAGTGCCTTGAAACTGAGGAGATACGACAAAGGGATTCTTTTTAGCGGTAAACGCGCAAACATTTATATTCTGGGGATTGAACTGGACTAGATTTAGTCGCCCCCAGTCTGAGACTTTGTTCAACAAAGTCTTGACTTCAGACACAAGTATGTTGCGGTACTCGGCGACGTTTTCCCGAGAAATATTGACACGACCGGTGTATAAAGCATCACCAGTGCTATCGTTCGCATAGCAATGAATATTACTGGTTTGCAACATATCACGCAACCTTGTGAAACACCA